ATGGATGGATGGATGTGTATATATATAGATGTGTGTATATTACTTTCGGGTATACATGCGTAGCATCCCGCAGTTGTGGATAAGAGAGAGGGGGCGGCGGGGGCGGCGGCAGTATGCGAGGCTGTGAAGAAGCCCGCCGCAGGCGCCTAATTTGTTGAAATTATACCACGAGCTCCCCGCAGGCGCAGAATTTCATTACAGCAATGTGGGTGGGTCGCGGGGTGGGTCGCGGGGGATGGGTCGCGGGATGGGTCGCAGGGTGGGTCGCGGGATGTGTTGCGGTGTAGGTCGCGGGTGGCTGGCGGGTGGGTCGCGGGTCGGGTCGCGGGTGGGTCGCGGGTGGGTCGCGGGTGGATCGGGGGCCGGGTCGCGGGGGGGATGATGATATCACATAACTAACAACAGCAACGACACCAATCATTTTAAGATTGTGCGTTCTTATCTCTGCTTACGTGCCAACCAGTACGTATATCCAAAAACCTCGGTACCCGCTCTTGTCGTCTTCGATCGTACCCCCGTGGGGGTACATCGTCCTTACTTGCCAAGTGCATTTAGTGCGGAGGAGAGGACGGGGGGAGAATAATGGAGCACAAGAGAAATTAGCAGGAGGGGGGCAAGGAGCAGAAAACAAGTGGTAGAATAAGACGGGCAGATCGGGCGGGCAGACCCATAGCGGGCAGGTCGGGGAGGCGGGTCCAGGCGACGAGGTCGAGCAGGCGGGTTGCTGAAGCGTGGGTGCTGCATGAATCGCGAGGAAGTCGAGCGATAGCGCGATTCCCAAGTAAATCGTGAGATAAGCCAGAGCGAGAGCGCGATTCCTGAGCGCCCAGGGCGCATCGAGTCCCACGCGCACACGGATTGTGGGGAAGTCCCGCGCGAGAGCGCGATTGGGAATACGTTGTGAGGGAGTATCAGGCGGGAGCCGTTGTTGTTGTAACTCGGAGGCCAGGGGCCCAGTTTGAGCTTAGTGACTTCCCCTGAGATTTATCCGTGCGAAGGACCCAACCATGTGCGGGTGTGTGTCACGCAGTTGTGGGCATCGTCATCGGTGAACCTCTCTCTGGGGCCACGACGCGTGTGACGGGTGTGCCGAAATTGGTACGGGTACGCCATGCGGACGCTGCCACCAGAGCCGTCGGTGCAGCCCCATGTGAGGCCACAAAACGTGTGAGGGGTGCGCCGACATGCAGGGTGGAACCACGTGCGGGCGCTGCCACTAGGGCCCCTGGGGCTACGAAACGTGGAAGGTGTGCGCCGAAATGAAGGGTGGAACTGCATGCGGAACCTGCCACTGGGGCCTTGGGTGGAACACTCTATGGGGCCGAAACGGAGGTGGAACTGCTTGCGGACCCTGCCACGGGGGCCTTCGGTGGAGCACCCTATGGAGTTGCGAAACGTGTGAGGAGTGCGCCGAAATGAGGTGGAACTGCATGCGGACCCTGCCACTGGGGCCTTGGGTGGAGCACCCTATGGGGCCACGAAGCGTGTGAGGAGTGCGCCGAAACGGGCGTGGAACTGCACGCGGACCCTGCCACTGGGGCCTTGGGTGGAGCACCCTATGGGGCCACGAAGCGTGTGAGGGGTGCACCGAAATGGGGGGGTGGACCTGCACGCGGACCCTGCCACTGGGGCCTTGGGCGAAGCACCCTATGGGGCCACGAAACGTGTGAGAGGTGCGCCGAAACGGGCTCCACCCTATGGGGCCACGAAGCGTTTGAGGGGTGCGCCGAAATGAGGGGGTGGAACTGCACGCGAACCCTGCCACTCGGGCCCTGGGTGGAGCACCCTATGGGGCACGAAACGTGTGAGGGGTGCGCCGGAATGGGGGGGTGAAACTGCACGCGGACCCTGCCACTGGGGCCTTGGGTGGAGCACCCTATGGGGCCACGAAGCGTGTGAGGGGTGCGCCGAAACGAGGGGGTGGAACTGCACGCGGACCCTGCCACTGGGGCCCTGGGTGGAGCACCCTATGGGGCCACGAAACGTGTGAGAGGTGCACCGGAATGGAGGGGTGGACCTGCACGCGGACCCTGCCACTGAGGCCTTGGGCGGAGCACCCTATGGGGCCGCGAAGCGTGTGAGGGGTGCGCCGAAACGAGGGGGAAGAACTGCACGCAGACCCTGCCACTGTGGGTGGAGCACCCTATGGGGCCACGAAACGTGTGAGGGGTGCGCCGAAATGGAGGGGTGGAACTGCACGCGGACCCTGCCACTGGGGCCTTGGGTGGAGCACCCTATGGGGCCACGAAGCGTGTGAGGAGTGCGCCGAAATGGAGGCGTGGAGCTGCACGCGGACCCTGCCTCTGGGGCATCTGGTGGAGCACCCTATGGGGCCACGAAACGTGTGAGGGGTGCACCGAAATGGGGGGGGTGGACCTGCACGCGGACCCTGCCACTGGGGCCTCAGGCGGAGCACCCTATGGGGCCACGAAACGTGTGAGGGGTGCGCCGAAATTGGAGGATGGAACTGCACGCGGACCCTGCCACTGGGGCCTTCGGCGGAGCACCCTATGGGGCCACGAAACGTGTAAGGGGTGCGCCGAAATGAGGTGGAACTGCATGCGGGCCCTGCCACTGGGGCCTTGGGTGGAGCACCCTATGGGGCCACGAAACGTGTGAGGGGGGCGCCGGGGGGGGATGTGGAACTGCATGCAGACCCTGCCTCTGGGGCCTTCGGCGGAGCACCTTATGTGGCCACGAAACGTGTGAGGGGTGCGCCGAAATGGACATGCGGAGGGCATGGGAGGAGGGGGAGGGAGGAGGGAGGAGGAAGGAAGGGGGGAGGGAAGGAGGGAGGGAGGGAACGCGGGGACCGTCTCTATAATACAAGGTCCCAACACCACAGCATGGTTGGGAAAAACAGGGTGCGAGCCCCGGGGGGAAGCACTTAATTTGAAAATGCACAATGGGCACCGGAGTGGGCAGATCAACAATAATGATTCTCCAGTAATGCGAGCTCAACCACAGCAACAACAACAACATCAACTGTAACAAACACGTAAACATCAACATCAACATCACCATCAGCATCAGCATCAGCATCAACATCATCAAAAATGATCCCGGCGAAGGACCCAACTATGTACAGTCATAAATTCCGGAGTTGTAAGTATTTCCTTCGGTGGAGCTCCCTAGCCGCATGCGAACGCAGCTGCTGGGGCCTTCGGTGTGCGTCCCTATGGGGACCACGAAACGTGTGAGGGGCGCGCCGAAATGGGGGCGGAACCGCATGCGAACGCAGCCACTGGGGACTTCGATGGAGCTCCCTATGGGGCCGCGGAACGTGTGAGGGGTGTGCCGAAATTGGGGCGGAACCGCATGCGAACGCAGCCACTGGGTCTTTTGGCGGAGCTCCCTATGGGACCCCAACACGTGTGAGGGGTGTAACCGCATGCGAACGCAGCCACTGGGACCTTCGGCGGAGCTCCCTATGGGCCACGGAACGTGTGAGGGGTGTGCCGAAATCGGAGTCGAACCGCATCCGAACGCAGTCACTGGAGCCTTGGATGGAGCTCCCTGTGGGGCCGCGGAACGTGTGAGGGGTGTGTCGAAAGAGCGGTGGAACCGCATGCGAACGCAGCAACTGGAGCCTTCGGTGGAGCTCCCTATGGGGCCACGAAACGTGTGAGGGGCGTGCCGACATGGGGAGTGGAACTGCATGCGAACGCAGCCGCTGGGGCCTTCGGCGGAGCTCCCTATGGGGCCACGAAGCGTGTGAGGGGCGCGCCGACATGGGGGCGGAACCGCATGCGAGCGCAGCCGCTGGGGCCTTCGGTGGGGCCACGAAACGTGTCAGGGGTGTACCACAACGGGTGTGGAACCGCATGCGAGCGCAGCCATTGGGGCCTTCGATGGAGCTCCCTATGGGGCCACCAAGCGTGTGAGAGGTTTGACGACATGGCGGTGGAGCCGCATGCGAACGCAGCCACTAGGGCCTTCGGTGGAGCTCCTTATGGGGCCACGAAACGTGAGAGGGGTGTGCCCAAATTGGGGTGGTGAGGAGGGAAGAGTGGGAGGAGCGGGGGGAGGAAGGAGACGCGGGGCGCTGTCTCTTCAAAACGAAGACCCGATACCGCATGATGGTTGGGAACACTAGCAACAACAACAGCATCAACAACACCACCAGCAACCACAATAATAACAACACCAACAACGACAACAACAACAACAACAAAATCAGCACCAACAACACCAGCAACAACAACAACCACCACAACAACAACATCAGCAACCACCTAAACAACACCAACAACAACATCAGCAACAACAACAACACCAACAACAACACCAACAACAACAGCAGCAGCAGCAACAACTACATCAGCAACATCAGCAACCACATACACAACCACACTCATTTCAATATTGATCGTTCTTACCTGCTCGCGTGCCATTCAACACGTATATCCCCAATCCTCGATACCCGCCTTCTTCGTCTTCGATCGCACACCCTTGGGGGTAGATCCTTCTTACCTGCAGCGTGTGCTTCGTGCAGCCCCCAAGGCAGGGGAAGAGAGGACGGATGGAAGGAAGGAGGAGGAGGAGGAGGAGGAGGAGGAGGGGGAGGGGGAGGAGGGGGAGGAGGAGGAGGAGGATGAGGATCAGGAGTGGAAGGAGGAAGAGGAGGAGGAGGAGGAGGAGGAGGAGGAGGAGGAGGAGGAGGAGGAGGAGGAAGAAGAAGAAGAAGAGGAGGAGGGGGAGATGCAGGAGGAAGAGGACCAGGGTGGAGGAGGAAGAGGAGGCGAAGGGGGAGGGGAAGAGGGAATGGGACGAGGGTTCGGCGGCGAGCTCAGCTCTCGGAAGTCGTCAACCCACCACCTCGCCGATCCAATACGAGGCCCCCAAAAGTCACAGCCCTTTCCCCAGGCGAGGGCCCCCCAGAGGCAGGAAACGTTCAAACGACGCGAGCACGTCTGGGACCGATCTTGGGCCCAGGGCGCATCTGGCTACGATCGGCGAGGTGGCCAAACAGGGTGCCTCCAGACGCCAGCGGCCCCAAG